TCTCTGAGGTAAGCATCTAGGATACTGCTTAGGCAAAAATACAGAAATATAGATGTTGTGCACATCAGGGTTTGGCACACATGAATAGTAAATTGATTTTGAAAAAGAGACACCATCTTTGGTACACTTTGTTCTTACTCCTTGTTATTTTAATTTGTTCCAGCAAATAATTGCATTCCTGTTGACAAGGAAGAAATCTTAGGAAAAACTGGGTAAAAAAGAAGGCAGGTTGCCAGATTCTGAACCCAGTAGGAACTTATATGCCTAGGTACCTGGAGTCCTCTTTCTGTAGTTTACACATGAACTAGATAAACCTGGTGAGCCAGGGAATGGTGAAGGTGGGAGGGGGGCTTATCCTTTTAGAGCAGTTTCTCTCATACCTTATTTTGTGTGTTTCTGAGTGCGTGTGTAATATGTGTGACTGTGGTGTGCATGTATGGTCTATGTACATGTCTGTGTGTATGGTGTGTGTATGTGTATGTATATGTATGTCTGTCTCTGTGTGTACATGCGTGTGTACCTCTATGTATGTGTCTATGTGTCTATGTGTCTGATGTGTGCCTGTGTTTATATATGTGATGTGTGGGCACATGTCTATCTGAGGACCAGAGGACAATCTTGGGTGTTATTTCTTAGGAGCCATCCATTTTGCTTTCTGAGTCGGTGACCAGCATCACTAGCTCTAGCTATCTGACCAGCAAGCCCCACGAGTTCTGCCTGTCCCCTACTTCCTCAGTTCTGGGGTTACAAGTGCACACTACCATGCCTGCTTTTGTTTTTGTTTTAACTTGGGTTCTAGGGCTCAAACTTGGGCCCCCAGACCAACTTTTAAAGAAATCTCAGCTTTTGAATGAAGTCACCATATCTAACATTTAACAGGTTTCTAGTAAATTATTACAGATCAAAGAATTGATTTGAGGGCTTCCTTTTCTCTCTGCAGTTGTTCTTTTCTGTTTTAGCGAGGAGGGGGTACAGAGTATGCCCATAAGAGAGGCAACATCTAGATTCCACCAGAGATGGCTGAGTTACCTGTGTTAGGGTCAGTCTGGACTCTGGCTGCCCTGTCAAGCTAGACCTGTCATCAATAACTAACTGAAAAAGCAGATGATGGTAAAAAGCAGAAAAAGGAGATTAATTCAATACAGTCCTGTTGAAAAGGGAGCAAAGAAAAGCTGGGCATGGTGGCACATGATTTTAATCCCAGCACCAGCGAGGCAGAGGTAGGAGAATCTTTGAGTTTGAGGCCAGCCTGGTCTGCAAAGCAAGTTCTAGGACAGCTGGGCTGTTGTACAGAGAAACCCTGTTTCAAAGGAAGCAAAAAAAAAAAAAAAAAAAAAAAAAAAAAGGGGGGGGAGGAGGGAGGGAACAAAGAGATCTAGTGACTTCCTGAGTCCATCTTCAGGGTCCTGGCATAAGATTTAGGCTTCACTAGCAGGCCAGAGGTATGCATAATAAAGCAGTGTTCTTGGTCAAGGTGTGGTCCTATCCATCACTGACCCATCATTATCCCAGCCCCAGGCTGTCCTATACTATGGTCTGACAAGTTGACAAACTACATGCAATCTCTTTCTGGGAGACAAGTGTCCTCTTTGACTGGCACCAGGGTTCAGGGTTTTCTTTATTTGAACATGGAATTCTTGGGGAAATTCCAATTTCTTGGGGACTACTGTTTCAATGGCCCCAGCTCGGGGTAGGGGTAGTGGTACAAGTATCTCTTTCAGTTTTTTTTTTTGTTTTTCAAGACAGGTTTTTTCTGTGTGTAATGTAGTCCTGGCTGTACTGGAACTCCCTTTGTAGACCAAACTGATCTTGAACTCAGAGATCCACCCTCAGAGATTTCTAGGCCTGCCTCTGCCTCCTGAGTGCTGGGATTAAAGGCGTGAGCCACCATCATCTAGCTCTTTCAAATATTTTTATGGCCATGATGGTTGTAGAATGAGGTGGGAGTGTGAAAGAACTTCTAACTCTCAGTTTGGCTGACACACAGTAGTTTTTAGAGGTGCCCTTTCCTTGTGAGACAAGGACAAATAGAAGACAGTGTTGAGGCAGCTGTGTAACCTGACTTCTGTGGTCTATCCACAGGTTGACCAGCTAGCACTGCTCTCCAGTCCTCTGTCCCTGGCCCCCTTTCTTTCTTTCTTTCTTTTTTTTTTTTTTTTTTGGTTTTTCGAGACAGGGTTTCTCTGTGGCTTTGGAGCTTGTGTCCTGGAACTAGCTCTTGTAGACCAGGCTGGTCTCAAACTCACAGAGATCCACCTGCCTCTGCCTCCGAGTGCTGGGATTAAAGGCGTGGGCCACCAATGCCCGGCCCTGGCCCCCTTTCTTTACCTCCTCCTCTGTGCCCCCTTAGATCAGTGATTCTCAAGAGGCTGGAAGGGCAGGTTCATAGGACTTCCAGGATTGTATCACCACTATGCCTGTCTGCTTCCTGATATTGCGCCCTTGCTTGGAGCTTACTCACACAGTCCTTTCCTGGGTTTCACACCATCCTCAGTAAGCTTGGGTGGAGGTGACTGCTAATTTTAGAATCTTTTTAAAAAGCTGTTTTGAACAAGATTATCTTCATTCAATTCAAAAATGTTATAGTTGGGGCTGGAGAGATGACTCAGTGGTAAAGTGTTGCTGTATAAGCAGGTGAGCAGAGTTTGGTCCCCAGTGCCCATGTGAATTGCTGGCCATGGTGGTATGTGTGCATTTGTAATCACTGGACTGAGAAGGCAGAGCCAGGAGGATCCCTGAGGCTGCTGGTCAGCTAGCCTAGGTGAGTCATTGAACCATGGATCCCTGTGAAAGACCTTGACTCAAAAAACAAGATGGTTGGCTCCTGAGGAACACCTGAGGTTGATCTCTGGTCACCACATGCATGATCACACATAAACACACATAGGCGCGCGCGTGCGCACACGCACACACACACACACACACACACACACACACACACACACACACACACACACACACACACACGGGTGCACTTTATAAAAAGGTAAAAGGTAGAGAATCTTTACTGGTCCCCAACAGCCTAGTTCCCATTTCCTCCTTTTCAAAGGCAGATGTTATAACAGTATCTCATTGAGTAGTCTTCTAGAATATCTTTCTGCACAGATAGGAATATACATAGACATGCACCTGGTGCCACGGGACACCTAATTTTAGGACAGTAATGTGGTACGTCTGTAGGACCCTGAGTCCCTCTAACTTCAGGGACTACAGTTTGCTAAAATGTTGTCTTACCCGTCTTAATTTCCGGTTACAGCTTCAGTGTTCTCCAATTTCTTCCCTGGAGAAGGAGAGGAAGACATGCACATCTTTGTGTTTTTCTGCATTATTTTGAAAGTGTTTCATGTGTCCAAAAATCAAGAATTCACAACAGCTGTGAATGCCTGCACAGACTCATGCAAGTTAAAGTCAGTCAGAATTCCAACATGGGTCGGGGAAGGGCTCACAAGCCTGAGGTCAAGGTGTCATTTGATGGTCCCTGAGACATGGGCTAGCTGATAGCACCTGGCTCTTCTACTTTTCCATAAACTTTTCTTCACCCATGGTCTTGGGACTTGCCAGTGGCTACAAAGACTGTGAGCTGGCATTTTAGCTTCTTGGTTGGAAGCAGACCCCTTGCCTCATTCTGCTTTGAAACTTCCATGCCTGTGGTGCAGCTGCTCTGCTCTGTTTTCTCTCCCAAGGTGCATTCTCAGCCCAATGGCTTTTATTTTTAAGTGCATTCATTTTTATTTTATGGGTAGGAATGTTTTCCTGTATGTATATATGTGCACCACATGTGTGCCTAGTACCCATGGAGACCAAAGGGCACAGGATCATCTGGAGCTGGAGTTACAGATGGTTATGTATTGTATAATCTGGGAGACTTTCTTCTGTGGCCACGTGACCTAGGCAGGTGCTCTGTTCCAATCCTCACTGTGTTCTTAGAGAAAGAGTCCCCTCCTGAGCCTCCCTTGCAGCACCTGTAAAAAAGGGTACAAAATAACAGACTGGTGAGCCTCCATGTGAGTGCTGGAAACTGAACCTGGATCCCCTACAAGAGCAGCTGAGCCGTCTCTTTAGCTCCAGCTCAGTAGCTTTTGGTAAGTTTCCATCTCTCATCAGACTTGTCCACACCTTGGAGAACCCCAGGGGTGTATTGCTGGTGTGGCTCGTAGCTCCAAATGCTTCATCTACTACCTACGATGTGTTCTGCTGTGGGAAAAGGGTGGAATTCTCCACGTGGTGCAGCTTCCCAAGCTTTTCCGGAAATTTCAGACATCAGTGTTTCTTGTTCTGTCCCCAAATTCTTGTTCCTGTTTTATGCACATAATGACATATTGCTGCTGTCACTGCCTGTTTGTTCTTCAGTGGCATGTGTGAGCATGTTTGGAGGGAAGTTCATACCCAGCAAGATTGTCAGAAATTTGAGTATTTGTTCCTTAATAACCGTAGCAGGTGGGAGGGACATGAGAACATTGAAGACAGGGAGACTTTGTTCCCTAGAGAACTTATCGAATTCTAGGAGCCAGTTTTTCTTGTTTTTAGCTTTTTCTCACCTTGTCTGGATCAAATTCAAGATGGATTGGTAGGGATGGGCTCATTATTTGTCATGGGGGGAAGAAGTCTGGTGTCCAAATCTCTATTTATAATTTTTAGTACTGAAGATGCTTTGACATCACCTTGTGAATTTACTAACATACTGTCTATCTACAGTAGTTGTAACAATTATACCATCCTGCATACACTTAAAATCTTTAGATGGAGAGTGTATGGAAAGTGTGTTTTAGACTATAAAATGTTTGTAAATATTATCACTGCAGTAGCACCAGGGGTGGGGGCCCTACCAGGACCTAGGAAAGAATACTTCCCTCCTTAGGCCTAGATTCCACCCCTGTGCTACTGGTAAGCACATGGTCACCAATGATGAGCCCTTTGTCATCTTCCTTTGGAACTGGCCTTCAAGAGCTGTATTCTCACCACAGCTGCCTGACTACGTTTATGTGTTTCTGTCTCCCCAGGCGGCTGCTGAAGAGTGAGCTTGGATCATTCATTACAGACTATTTCCAGGTAAGCTCGGAGGGGCCCAGCCCCCATCATACTTGACATACCAACAGGGGTGTCTGTACTGCACATTTGGATGTTCATTTAATGCCTATAGTTACACGTGCTGCAGGACTACAGGGGGCTGCTGGGCCAGCTTGGTCACCGATGTTAGTGGAGATCAGATCCCTTGCAGTCAGTCTCCAGGCTCATTTATATTGTTAAAATTATTGCTCATTTGGGTTCTATCTGTCCTTACCATCTGAGGAACTGTGCCTCAGAGCTTTGCAATGTTTATTAATTAACAGATTAATTATAGAAGAATGCATAGCACTTACTTTTCTATGAGAAAAAGAGGATAAAACAGAAGCGAGAAGAGTGCTGTCCGTGTGCATGTGCAAACATCTGCATGGCCTGCTTTCTAGAAGGCAATTCTGTCTCCTGTCTGATTCTTATTCTGTGGGTTGTGTATTGCATGCCACATTGTCTCAGGAGAGCTGCACTGCCCAGCCCGGGACACGGGGGAAAAGGCAGAATCCACTTACTGTTACTGAAGACAGTTTTCACCAGAGGACACTGAGTCCCACCACTGTCTTAAATCTCTCCTGTCCCATGTGTGGTATTTAGTTGGGTTAGGTATTTGTGCCCTTTAGACAGATTATTTCTTGTCACTATACCTCCTAGTCTGTTCCGTTGAAGGCAGGATTGGATTTGACAGTCTACACATTGTTGTGAGGCTACGAAATTCAAGGTCCTGGGTCTCTACAAAGGGCTGTTTCTAAGCCATAGTCACAAGCTGCTTCCTTAACTCTAACTAAAGGTGTCTGGGAGCAGCTGGGTGACAAGCAGTGGGCTTGGCAAGCTGCTTTATTTCTGTCTGTCTCAGTTTCCTTGTTTGTATGTTAGTCAAGATCATGGGCCATTGAGGCAGGTTACCCAGGTTCAGGGCCCAACACAGCCATTTACTGAATGTGTTACCCATAAACAAGTTGCTGTATCTCTGTTTCAGTTTCCTCTTCTCCAAAACTATGACCTAACCTTTAGAACATACCCATATAGTGTTAATGTAGGGACTAAATAAATTGTTATCTACAAAGTCCTTACTGCTAGCACAAAGACAGTAGTGGTGTTTGTTAAATTTATGCGGGTTCTTATTTATTATTTTAAAGTGCAAACCATCCATTCAAACGGGAAAGGAATGTGAAAATACTTAGGATCTTAGTGGCAGGTTGTTTTGTATTATTTCATGTCCAAGTAGAGCACAGTTTTAAAACTGTTTGAAAAGAATTTTGTTGCTAAAAACCCAGAAATCATTTTGTTTTTCTACTGAAGTATCAGGAAATGTCAAACTATTATGTCCACTTTAAAAGAATGACAGGTGTCAGTCAGCTTAACATCAGTACAGTACACACACACACACACACACACACACACACACACACACACACACACACACCAAGAAACACTAACTCTAAAGCTGGACAGACCAAGATCCAATGAAAACCTGGAGTTCAGTGGAGTCATCCTCAGCTGTTTGGACCTTAGCATTTGGTGTGTGTGTCTGTGGTGTGTGTGTGTGTGTGTGTGTGTGTGTGTGTGTGTGTGTGTGTGTTGTAGCCCGAAGACTCAGAATGTGATAATGAGTCCCGACTGTGAATCATCTCAGTTGCTCTTCACTCAAAGGTCAGCCTCTACCTCTCTATGCCCCCTGTGGTCTTTATTGACTGATTTGAAGCTTGGCTACTGAGAAGAGGTTTTTTTCCCCCAGTCCTGAAGAAGCCTGCTGGGCCTGCCTGATTTCTGCCTTGACATTTCAAATGAGACAGGGTCCGTGTGGTTTCAGTCAAGTTGTAAATGTCAGCTGTCTTTTGGCATTGAGGGCTACCCCTAGGCCTGTAGGAAGGGTGTGTCTGGGTGGGGACTTGTGCATATGGGAAGCCCTGAGGTTTTGGGGGGTGGTTAATACTGCTTACAAAGATGCCAGATACTTCAAAACTAATAACCACATGTCATTTCCTATCAGGATCCTAACCAGAGAAGCTATTTGCTGAATGTCGAGTCTTTTTCTTGGGGTCTGATGTGGGGACAGATTTTCAGAACTTTGAATCTGGGGTTTTCCTTACTTAGGGTGCTAAACTTGAGGAAAGCTCTCCTGGATACTCTTCTAATGTAGGTTTTAAGTTTGTTTTGTTTTTTTAAGCTGTGGGTATCCATCCCTCCCCTGGCGTTTTTAACCCTTTGAGTATCCTCTTTTTTGTATAGTGTATATTGGATGTTCTGCCTACATTTTTAGGGTGGGCAGGAGAGATTGTCTACTATACATACCAGAAGTGACATTTGGTGACCTATACAATGACAATGAATAACATAGAGATTGGGCTTAGACAGTGTTTCTTCCCTTTTAAATTTTTCCTTTAGCCCTTGTGTTCATGCTAGAGAAAGTCTTGAGCAGTATTCTTCAGGACTCGGCAGTCTTCTTATTTAAGGAAGAGGGAGCTGGCCTTGAACTTGGTATCCTTAGGTAGGTATGCATGGCTGGCTAAGGTTCTATGTCATTCTTTTTGTTTTCTTTGAGTTAATTTCTGAGTGGTTTTTCCACTTGTGCTGAGTGGTGCTGCTACTGGTTCCTTTTAACACATAATGACAATTTTGACAAGTAGTTTTAAGAAACAAAAGTAACACTTCAAGGACAATGGTGCAGGTGGCTCTGGCTATGGTCCCCAAGGTGAAAGTGGTTCAGGAACCATTCAAGTGGGAAAGCTGGGTTGGGCGCTGCCAAGGAGTCTTCCAAAGCTGCTTGAGGAATCTCCACAGAGGAGACGGTCAGGCACACAGAGGCAAACTTAGCTTCTGCAACAGTCTCATTTCCAGAGGTGAAGCCTGAAGAGGCTCCAACAAAGGACTAGGAGGGAGGTGGGGACCTATGAGAAGCAGAGCCTGGGGCAATCAGGAAAGTCCCAAAACTTGGTTGCCCAGAAGAATGTAAACAAGCTCCTTGGGCCCTGTGATCTTCCTTAGTGTGAGGCCTAGATGCCATCCCTAGGCACCTGCATTTGGAAGGGAGGTCTACACACTCTTGGGACCCTCCCTTCCCAGGGAGAGCTCACCATTTGCCAAGCCACAGACAGAGCACTTCCTGTCTGGGCTCTGCTTTTGCTAGCTCAGGTGAACATTTTCATTTTACAATTTTAAAGAAAGAACATCCAGAGTGAAGAATAATGAAAATGACCTGAAGAGAGGGCAGGGGCAGCAGGTAGGAAAGTGGTGCTTATCTCCAGTCTGCACACAGAGAAGACAGCCTGTTCCATGCGCAGAAGCCTGAATAGATTTCCATGAGGCACTGGCCAGAGAAAGCTCTGACATTTCCAGTACTGACTTCCCTCCCCACTTCCCTCCTGTCTGTTTTGAATTGTGCCTGGGAGGAAAATTGAGGTTTCCAAGTAGAACTCTATCCTAGTGACTGCTTGGAGGGATAATTGCTTCTCTATCGTGCAACGGTTATTATAAAGTGATCTATCTGCATTTTGGGATTGCCTAGTAAGGTATCTCTCCGGTTTAAAATTGGGGGGGGGCAGAGTGTTGAATACCTCACTTTCTCAGTTCTGCATCTGTGGGTTACACTATGTGCTAAAAACCTTGCCCCAAGCCCAGAAGGTTCCATTTTTTTTTTTTCTATCTTTTGGTGGATTAAAGTTTTGCTTCAATAAGAAACTTGTAAAGTCAAAGGCTCTGGGTGAGTTAATGTTGGGGAGGAGGGAAATGTGTGTGTGCAGACCCATGTGTGCAGGCACATGGTGCATGTTAGCACATACATGTATGTACATACGTTGGTTCATCTGATTACTGCAAGAATATATAGGTAATATGCATATGTTGGTTTATCTGATTGCAAGAAGAGCCCCAGGAAAAGACTGAGTTAGGGAAATGTACAGTGGGCAGTAGCTGAGAGAGGAGACCCATGTTGAGGGGTCTTAGGCAGAATGGAGTTTAAAATTGTAAACAGTGCAAGGATATACATGAATCTACCACCAGCAGCACACACAGTAGCATTGACTGATGATGGGAATGGATGGCAGGGTTTTCAACCAGCATAAATAAATATAAATAAAAATAATTATGAAAATGGGACTAGCCTGGCAGGGTTGGTGTACACCTTTAATCCCAGCACGCAGGAGCCTCAGGCAGGTGGGAGGCCAGCCTGGTCTACAGAGTGAGTTCCAGGACAGCCAGTGCTACACAGAGAAACCCTGTCTTGGGAAAAAAAAAAAATACAGAAACAAAAAAGAAAAACTAAAATGAGACTTGGTAAGGGATGGATAGGACAGGGTGTTGAGAATAACTCTTGTGATTTTCAAATTCACACTGAATGGGGGTGGGAAAGGTGCCATTCCCTTCTTTGATCTCAGAAGACTCCTATAATAAGTAAGATTCCCCAAAAGGAAACAGAGATTGTGAGGTGGCCATCTGGGCAGAAGGGGAATTCCATGCATACTCAGTGGGTTAAAAATGGGGCCAGTGCACAGAGGGCTTTGACAGGAAGGCTGGGTGAGGATTATATTTTTAGGTGAGAAGGTCCTTAGGATTGAGGTTTGACTGGTATTTGGGACAAAGCATGATGAAGCCTACAAGCTCCAGGGGTCACTCTACCTTGGAGGTACAAGTGGGGGGGGGCATACAAGGAGTCTCTCTGCCAGTCAGGGGTTACCTTTCAGCAGATTTCTTGCCCCCAGTCTCCGGAGCAATTACATGAATTCTGTGCAACTATTTGAATATTTCGTTGTGCTTTTCTCATACTTTATGGAACTAAGTGGAAACATGAGTCTTGAAATTGATAACTCCAGGCCTTACTAGTTCGTAGATAAAGATGAAAATCAATAGGTATGCTGAGGTAACGGATCATTGGCTTCATTGGATTTGGGTTACTGCATCTTTAATTGTGAAGGAAAAGAATGCAAAGGCACAAAACACTGAAAAGAAATGAAAGGTGGGCTCCGAAGAGGAGATGTGGCTCTGGGCTTTATCACCCT